GGGCACAGACCATGAAATCGCATTTCCCAACGAGTATGAAGTCCACAGCACACATTGGAGACATCGTTGTGACCAGAATTACAATGGGGGAACGATCCGGGCACAGACCGGGCACAGACCTTGGAATCGCATTTCCCAATGAGTATGCGGTCCGGACCGCACATTGGCGACATCCTTGTGACCAGAATTATAATGGTGCGCCCAGCCGCGCTCAGACAAAATGTACGTTTCACCACACGTTCGTGCACTCGACACGCACGATCTCCGCAGAGGGTTGCTCGAGGGCAAACCTTGAAACCAGAATTACAATGGGGAAACGCAAAATCGACAAAACCTTGTCACCAGAATTATAATGGCGGAACGCACCGCGCACACCAAAAATGTACGTTTCACCACACGTTCGCGCGATCGACACGCACGATCTCCGCAGAGGGTTGCTCACGGACAAACGCGATTCGCGTCTCACCACACGCGCGCGCGATCGATGGCCACGATTCCACGAGAGGGTTGCGTTTCGTAAGACCTGCTCGCACCGCCCCGCCGCCTAAAGAGAAGAATAAAGAAGAAGTTGGGTAGGTGAAGTTGGGTAGGTGTCTTAAGGAAGATGTCTACACCTACCTATCTTCACCTACCTATCTTCACCTACCTATCTACACCTACCTACCCACACCTACCTGTCTATACCCACTTATCAATACCTACCTATCAATATCTACTTCTGATGTACTTTGATATTGTTGATCTGATACTTCTACTTCATATGTTATGTTGTGATGTGATATTATTTTATCACATGATATGAGATGATATGATCTGACATTGATGTGATGTGATATGATATTAAAACATGATATGATATGATATGTTATGACATTGATGTGATGTGATATGATATTATAACCTGATATGATATAATATGATATGATATGAGATTAATAACCTATGAGGTGATGATTAGATGATGATGTTGTGAGGGTGAAGTAGGAGAAAGTTAGTAAAGAATATGAAGTAAGGAAGGTGAAGTAGGATAAAGAGAGTCAGGAAGAGAGAGTGGGGAAGATGAAGTAAGAGAAAGAGAGTAAGGAAGAGAGAGTGGGGAAGATGAAGTAAGAGAAAGAGATTAAGGAAGATGAAATAGGCAGCAGTGCTTAAGGAAAAACCCTTCGCAGGTGCTTTCGGGAAAAAAAACCAAGTGAACGCGTGCGAGCCTCTGGCTGACTCAACCACCAACTGAGTCTTTGTGGCGTTGTGTTCAGGAATTCTTAGCATGTTCTGGTGTGGCTGAAGGAAGTGGACAGGAAGAGGGGAAACTAGATGACTTCATGGCGAAGAAAGAACACATGGCTAACGGAAACTTCCCGGATCCTCTAACTCTAACGCATCCTCCACTCCCAGAAATTGGTTGAAACATCTGTACAGGAAAACCCATCGCATTGGGGGTGAAAAACCATGGTCTTTTTCGGAAAACATCCCGAAGATGTTCAGTTCGCTTCCCGAGGTGGTGTGGTGCCGCCTCCACCCTTGGCCACCGCCCCGGCCACGTTGCGGGTGGCCTGGCAGAGTGGTAGAGTCCAAGGGCGTTTCAAGAGTCCGGGTGGTTTTCCCATAACCCAGACACTCCATGCATGCTGTATGCCGTATTTGCCTACCTTGGGGTGGTTGAAAAGGGCCATACATGGAGTGTTTGGGTAAGGGTTTGCAGGGTAAGGTTTCCCCGAGTTTTGGAGATGTAATAAAACATGGTAAAGTCATTCTGGTAAAACATAGTAAAGCCATTCTGGATGGATCTGGTGGCTTTCTTTTCACGAACTGTGGCAGATTTCAAGAGATTTGAAGAGCCCCTTGGTTCACCCAGCCTGCAAGGGCATTTCAGGTGATTTGGGTGCCGATGTTTTGTTCAATGGACACGATACGATGAGAATCCCTGGTTGTGGGGGGGATTTATCTGTACTTTCCGGCCAGGTCACCAGATGGCCTGGCCACCCGCCAATCTTCCCAGAAGTTATTTTTCTCGATTCACCATGATGGTTCGAACTCCATGATGGTTCGAATTCACTCCGGTCCATGATGAACATGCAGCACGGCGCAGATGCTCGAAAGAAAACACCCGACGGGACGGGCAGGTAGGCAGGTCGGGCACTGAGGACGGACTTTTTCGGGCCCAAGATCGAATGATGGAAATTCCGTGAATTGTAGACTTGACTCATATGGTCATATGGCATGATAGATGCAAGATGCAACCCTCCCCAAGCTTTCCAATCCCAAATGGGGGGGATTTGGATGAATCAAGAGTCTCCAGACTTCTGGCGTCGAAATGGAGACGTTCCCTCAGATGGACTCACCACCCAGTCCTATCCGATGGGCGCCTGGTGAAGGCGCCCACCATGGCGTTGCCCCAGTTTACCGCGCCGGCCCGGCGACTTGGGGACGTGGGGGACGGGCGCTGCTTCGCACTGCATCGCACTGCTGCGGCTTCCGGCGGTTTCGGGGGAGACGGTTTGGAAGGGTGATGAGTCGGAGCAAGAAGCTAGGATCCTGGCATTCCTACGAACGGAACAAGGACGCTACGAACGCTTTTCTGGACGAAGGAAGTGAGAGGGATGATGAGGGATGTGTGCGAGCAGATGCGATTCCTCAACAGGCCCGTTGTGGAAGGCGATGAGCGGCCGAATGACTGATTCAGTCAACTTAGAAGAAAGAGGTTATTTTTTCCCCTCCGTAAGTCGATGCAGATGTGGATCAACTTGTAATTCAGAATTTAATACGGATTTTTGACTCGAACCATCAAATTACTATGTGCCACTGTAGCTCTTGCTGTCTCGGCTTCTTGCTGTCTCGGCTTCATGATTTGGTGAACATGTGTAAGAGAAACCCTGGATTGATCAAGGGACTGCAACGGAGACAGCTCCATCCATGTGCATCACAAATCAAGAACTGACCAAGGCAGTAGATACCAGAACTGGGTGGTGGTTTCAGACATATATATATATATTATATATACTGTATATTTTATTATATATAATATATATATATATGTGTGTGTGTGTGTGTGTGTCCTTTTTCAATCCTACTACTTGGGACGATTGAACCCACTATAACCACCAACCAGAGAAGGCCTTGAGGTGTGCAATTTGTAGAACGTGGGCTATTTTCAGTGTCCTTGTGCAGGGTTCTTCCCACGAAAAAAGCACTTTGCTTCGCACACCAGACAAGAAACACGGTCTTCCGCCTAACCCGTGCGCAGCCCCCACGTGGACGACCGGGTCTTGTTTGCACACGGTTCAGGCTGCCCCGGCGTGGACTGGTGTCATCACCGTGGCCCGGGAGACCTGGCGGGATCAGGTTTGTTGGAGCCCTGTTTTGAGGGCGGATGTGTTGGCACCGGTGTTTGTTTTGAAGGGAGACGCGCCGTTTCGGGCGTTTCTGAGACGTCTTCTTATGGTTTCATGTACATATATGGTTTCAATATGAATGTCACTATAAGCAAATCCCCCCTCCCAAGAGGAACGAATCAAACGACCCAGAGAAGAAGCCGGTCGACCGAGCGGCGGGGTGAGGCCCGGAACATGGCGAAGAAGACGCCCTTCCGGGCCGCTCTCATCCAGGGGAAGGTCTCCGACGTGGAGGCCGGCCGAAAAAAGAAACAACGGGTGGAGAGGATGGCGAGCGTGCTGGAGCACCATGCGTCAACGTGGGGTTCAGGATTTTGCGACACCTTTAATATTCTATACCTGGACCTTTGGATGTCCTGGCTGGGAGGAGACTGCGTAAGGAAGGTGCTGGTATATATTTATATATGATTTTATAATCTTCTACATTATGAAATGCTTCCAGATGCTCCAGACTTGCCTCTAAGGTTTTGCTCTTCCTGATTTTTGAATCTCCTTGCCGGGTCTCCTTGAACGAAACCGTTCGACACACCGCAGCTTGCAGTCGCCAAGTCATGGATGGAAGATTTCGATCACAACTCCGAATGTATAGGGACTTTTCTAGGAAACAAACCTAATAGGTATAGACAAAAACAAGTATATATATATATAGTCCCATCCCTTGAGACTCTCAGATGCCCAAGTTTACCCCTGGATCACATCCAGCACACGAAATGAAGCCGCCGAATGTACGCCGTTCCCAACACATGGGCGACCGGAGCTCGAAGTGCTTAAAGCATCATGACCCTACTGGGTCCAGTTGGACCCAGTAAAAGCCTGGTCCTGAAAACCTCCTTGAGTCGTGTTTTTGGATTAAACTTCAGTAACATGAGGTCCCACTGACCTGAGGTTACCAAAGGATGAAAGGGCGCGCAGCTTCGCCAAAAAACACGGCATTTGAAGGGGCCAATTCGCTTCTCGACGGATGCCAGAACTAGCACCCTAGTCTGCAGTCGATTATCGTCGATTCATGAGACCGGAGCACTCAAAAGGCAGATGAGACTTCATCGCTTCGCCCTCACACTCCTTCAATCTGTGTTTAAACAGATTGAAAAGCACCTGTTTTTTTTCACTTCCGGCAGCCCCAAAGCCACTCAACACCTCAGATTGCGACCGCACCGCACCCGCCATGGGTGCCCTCCTCTTCCGCGCGGCTTCGGAAGCCGCGGCGCCGGTGGAACGCGCGGTGGAACGCACGGAGCCAGCGCCGCGGTGGCTGCGGGCGGTGCGCTCGGCGGTGCCACTGCACTGCAACGCAACGAGCTGAGCTGTGCGAGTGAAGGGAGATGAAGGGGATTCGGTAGGTTTGAAGATGTGTCTTCAGTAGGATGGGAACGGCTTGGATTAGGATTGTTGTTGGGCCATCCTTGGAACCTGTAGTTGTTGGGGGCAGGAAGGTGATCAAGTCAGGAACTCCAATAACTTCCAACTACAAGTGCATCAAGTGCCACGCATGTGATCAGTGGCCTGGCACCTGAACACCCGTCACCTTCACAAGCACCAACTCACCTGGCCTTCCGCAAGCACTGCCACCTTCCTCTGCCACAGGCCTCGGCCGCTGTGGTCCCGCCGGTGGCGACGTCGCTGGGCCGAGTGCTGCGGCCACAGAGCAGCTTGGTCTTCGCGCGGTGCAGCTTCACGGCGCCGAGCTGTCCCGATGGACCCGCCGTGGTGTCCTGCCCCTGGAGTCGAGTCGGGTGGAACGTCCGAGGGGAGTGGTGTTGGTGGAGTCTGTGGTCAGAAGAAGGTGCAAAGAACGTCACTCATAGCACTAGAAGAAGGTACTCTTATGCAAACGGTATCAAACTTATAATCTATAGACTATAAATTCAAGCAGACATCATGAGCACTAGATAGGTGTGGCAGAGCAGGCCGTTGTAGTTGACGCTTTGCTGGCAGCAACCTTCATTCCTGCTTCAAGGCAGACACCGTCCGCGGACAGTGGTGGCTTACATGCACAACCTTACTTGAGATGTTGTGAGCCCACAGACGAATCTTTTTCGAGTTGAAGCCACCAACCAGAAAAGAGACAACCATGTGACTGTGACCATTCCCCAAAGAATCGAGCATTGCCGCTTTGCCCATCCCCGGCAACAGGTTTAAAGAAGTTGAGCGACCTCAGCCATGATTCCATGATATGATTCTTTCAGGTCTTCTATGGTTTTCTATGCAGCCCCTGTCGTAGAAGTCCACCGACGGTTTTTGGCACCACCGAACTACGGGAAACTCCTGACCGGGTCACCTGCTAGACACAATTTTTTGATTGTCTTGGACCAATGGACTTCTTGAGTGCACGTATAGTGTGGTGCAGAAGCATTCCTCGCCACCAATCAGCCCCATCCCCCAATCAGATCTCCGACCAGACCGACTCCCCGCCCGATGTTCTGTTCCCTTTTCGACCGGCAGGAGCCACCCGCCGTCTCCCCACATGGTTTAGTCGACCCACCCGCCGTCTCCCCACGAATGCCGGGTTCCAACTCCGTCGGCGTCCCGTTCCAACCGCCCCCCGCCGGCGAGTCGGCCTGGCCGCCGGCCGGCCCGGCCAGCCAGTCGAGCGTGTGGTCGATGTGTTTCGCCGCGGAGCTCCCAGGTAGTCGAACGGGCGCTGGTGGATACGGGTTCCTCCGACTGCGAGCTTCGTGAGGGGCTGCTCAAGAGGTTGCCGCCGCTGCCAGTGGTTGCGCGGGGGGGTGCCTAAGCCTTCACCTGTGGGGGGAATCTGATGGCCTTAGCGGGTCTCCATAGAATTGGGGACTTGAAGCACCATCATTCACAGCCCGAATCCCGAACAACCATAGTAACCATAGTAGTTTTCCACTGCAAATAGCCAGGTCAACCTTGTTTTTAATGTTCTATATGAGCAGTGTTCTTGAAAGATATTTGAAGGCTAGGGTGTAAGCAGGAACAACGTCGTATTCAGAAACTGCGCTGTATTCAGAAACTAGTCACTGGTCTTGAGAAGATATTTTGTTGTATTCCGAAACTATTTTCGTTGTATTCAGGAACTCTACCGTGCAAGCAGATCCTTCAGAAAAGGCCCCATATGCCTGGCAAATACCTTTAAGATCTTCAACTGCATGCCAAGAACTGCACCATTTGCCTTTCGTTGGAAGATGTGCATGTGGATGAACTCCCCATTTTTGGCACCCCCTCTCACAAAACCTCAGATTCCAACAGGTCTCAAAACAACTCCCCTCCGAGGAGCTGCCCACCCCCCCCCAGGTCACCTACGAAACCTCCACCGGCGACGAGGCGTACGACGCTTACGAGGTCCATGGGGGAAGTGTTGGTTCTTTTTCAACTTCCATCCAGGTGGAAGTTCGAAGCCTCCACCTTGGAGGTTCAAAACTGAGGGGGCCAGGGTGTATGGAAAAATGCCAAGCACGTTTGATTCATGGAATCCCCGGAGCTGTTTGGTCCATATACATTGATCGATGGATTTTGGGAGACTGGTCATCATGGAACTGAGTGGGCCGGTACATGCAACGACCAAATGAGAAGGACTGGGGGATTTGATTTAGTAGTCATGTCAGAAGCATTCAGACAAGTGTTGATGTAATCTAATTGGACTTCTGATGGTGGCCCGCTGGTGCATGAGAACTCGCCCCGTCGTCAGCATGTTACTCATGAATTCTGGCACACTGTCATGTGCCACCTTCATTTGTGCCTACCAGTAGCCCATTGTGATGGTTGGTGTGCATGTTCCTTGATGATTCTGGCGGGATCTCCATCACTTCTATACCATCAAAATATTATTGGAAAGATACTTTCCATCATCAAACATATACCACCAAAATACGTCTCCGCATATCCGGAAGCCCTTGACACTTTCCATTCACTTATCATATCCCATCGACTCCAACTAAACCCCCGCGGTGAGGTGGTACTCACCGTGAACGGCCGCCGCTGCGCGGCCGTGCTCACCGTGGTGCCCGAGGCGGGGGGCCACTTTTTGTGTGTTTTCAACCCCAATGAGCGGGCAGAAGAGGCTGTTTTGCCTGCAGAAGGGGCTGTTTCTTGGGGAAAACACCTCCCATTTCAAACAACAGCCACTTCAATCACCACTGAAGCAAAGGCAGTACATGGGCCATAGGCATTGAAGTCTTGGCCCAACAACGCAGGGTCCAGTCCTTGGGGATTTGGGCACCACTGACGGCCGCAGCTCGGAACAGGACCCCAAAAATTGGGTCGGAAGGGATCCCCCATTTCCAGCAGTGGTCCAGGTTTGTGCGTGGGAAGCCTGGAAACTTTCGGGTCCGTGGTGGAATCTGACTGAACACTGTGGAACATTGGGGGCATGTAAAAATATAATCCACTACCCCTACCTGTGGAGTGAAATGCTGTAAAGACTCACATTGTGTAAATGGCAGCTTTCCAATTGGCTTGGTTCATCACTGTTTTTCCGTCCTTTCCTCATCTTTCCTCCCCTGACTGCACGATGTCGCGCCCATTCACGGCTGGCCCCTCTTTCTTTGGGGGGGGGTCCCAAACGCAGTCCCCAAGGAAGTAGGTGAGGCTTTGGCCAGTTCAGGAGCTTCTGACTTGCGGAGCGATCTCCCACCGACCTGAGTACCCCTCAAAGCTCCCTGCGGGGCGGGCAGGAACGCTTCTCGGCACATGCGGACGAGCCTTGTTCGGACGAGGCGCCGGTGTGGAGTGGGGGAGTTGGCCGGCTGGCGAGGCGAACGAAGGGTTTTTAACGTGATGGGCTTGGAAAGAGTTTGGAGCAACTGGCCACCCTCAAAAGCCCATGTGTGATTTCATTTTGACGCTTTGGTTTGGCAATCTCAGCAGTAGTTGAGTGAAATGAGGAGAAGATCCTATCCCTGTACCCATCCCTTGGGAGGAACTGAAAAGGCACGTTTTGTACAGAGGGGTTCTCCAGGAATCAGCTTCCACCGGGCTCACCTTCCATAGCATGATTTGCTTCCGGAGTTTATTGGCTTTCCGAAGGTTGACAGATTGACAGGTTGCGTTTCAACCATCCCGTGATCGTTCTTGTTGGCTTGTCCTATAGGCTCCACTTGGCTTGGAGAATTGGTCAACGCCTGGGAGAAAAAGCAGGAGAAAACCCTAAGCTTCCAACCACCATTCACTTTAATAGGCTTTTCCGAATCAACGAAGTAAGGACTTTTACACTACTGCGGCGTCGACCGACCCGTTACCACACCTACAAGGTGAGAGTGGGCCCGAAGCGGGTGTTGATGGAGGTCGGTTTCAAGCTCCAAGGGTCGAGCAGAAAGATCCGCGGAGAGGATTGGAACGCATGTTATACAAACATCGCTCTTAAACATGTCCCTCCAAGTCAAAGGCCTCGTTTTACTGGGCTCTATTTTCTGCAAAACTGAGCAAAAGTTGACCTCCAACAACTTTTCGTGGAAATGGTGGAAAGCAGGACTTTACTCCGTAAAGGACGTCTTTTCCTTTGGCAATAATAAGAAGTAAAAAAACGTCCTTGACTCAGTGAAAGACGTCTTTTACTTGGCAAATGGTAAAAGTAAAAGACACTTTTAACTTTATACATATACGGTGCACATATACATGGCACGATAATTGTCTTTCAACATGCTGCACCGCTGGCTATCCAGGAGCGTTTTGCTCTTCAAGGACCCTTGCTTATCGCGCGAACATCGCACAGACACTGCACCGCTATAGCTATAACTATTTGTGGCAACAAGCGCATGCATCTCATATAAGTGGCGCCCAGGCTGCTAGAGTATTTTAATATGAAGCAAGGTCGATGCGTTACAACACAGACAACGCATGTGGTTGAAATTGGCCGTTTCTGGCCCGGACATGGGACCGTGACTCTACCTATAAACCACGAAGTTTTTGACGTCCTTTACTTAGTAAAGGACGTCAAAAACTTCGCCATGGACATCATTGGGCGTGACTCTAGCGTGACTCTATAGCCTGCAAGCTTCTAATGCGATTTGACGATGAGCTGTCATCGGCTTGAACAATGCACGCGTGCAATTGCAAGCAGCAAACATGACTCCCACGTAGCCACGTATATCATGGCAATGTAGTCGATGTAGTTGGCCAATTGAGCAAACAACGCGCGCAAAAAAATACATGGACTTGCGTAAGGCATGGCGCCGCTAAAAGTGAGCGTATGGGTACCATGTCTCCGGTATGCATGCACATATATGTATGTATAAGGACCATCCAACCCAAAAGAATGTTCCATGGAAATGGCCTTAATGCCCAAAGAATTTTTCGTGGAAGTGGTGACCTTAATGCCCAAAGAATCTTCCGTGGAAATGGTGACCTGAAAGTTTTTGAAGGTCAAAGAATATATATATAGTACCTGATTCGGCGGTTCTTCCGTCAACGGCACCCGGTCAGAGTTTTTTTCTCACCCCGTCAGCAGCGAAGCAGCCTGCCGTGCGAGGCCTTGCTGGGGCATATGGCCATTGCAGCGCTGGGTTTGGATGTGCACTGCCGGCAGCGCAGCATGCTCCAGGCTGAGGTGCGACGATCCTGTACTGCCCGCGTGCAGGTCTCGGACGTTGGATCCGAAGAACGCACATCACCGAAGTCTTCAGGGACGTGCAAATCAGGATGGCCCCCCTGCTTCACGATCCTCTTCCCTCAAACAGATGGTGAACTCCACACCTCGAGGCTCCAAACCCCGGCGCTTTGGCCCAGGAGATGCCCTCCGAAGCACGGCCGCTGCCTGAAGGCCCGGACGGACGGACTGCTTCCGCGGTGTGGTTTTGGTCCAGTTGGCCGTAGCGATGTTGGGGAGAAATCAAGAACCCCCAGTGGCCCCAGTGGTTGGCCTCCAGGTCCACCAGTGACTGGATTGATGGGTGATTGGTTTAAGGTCCAAGGTGCCAGAGGCACTCACACCCACGTGAACAGTGCACATCATTGATTTGGTTGACTTTGTGTATGATCCTTGGGCACGTTTTTTGTTGGGATGCGTGGCCATGCCTCCGCATGTGTTGGGTTGAGGCATTGGTCGTACTTTTACTTATGTCACAGTCGTTGGGCAGGATAAATCATCATCCATTCATTATCTTTCATTTCTTTCCAGTTTTTTTGTGTGGAAGGCTACTTGGCTGGGCACATATCGTCTAGAGTGATGTGAGCACCCAACGACCGCGAGAACGCACCTAACAGCAGCCGGCCTTCGGCAGGCGAACTGGGCCAGCTTCATGTCGCCAGCAGCCGGCCCTATGGCCTTTTTGGCACCGCCCTTGCTGAGAAGAGTGGTGTGCACGTGACGGCTGTACCGGTGGGGCAGTCCCTTCGCCGTACCGTTTCGTTTTTCGTGAACGTGCGACACATAAGGCAAGTCGTGGCAAAATGGTACATGGCGTGCTTTGTTGGTTTGGCTGTTTGTTTGTTGGTTTGGTTCGTAGATTGTTTGTTGTCATTGCAGCCGTCGGTGCCTTTTTTCAAAATTCTTGAAAAACAGCCATGGGTCACCATGAGCAGCATCCACTGTTGCAGGAAATGGGGTTTACATGGCAATGGATTTACTAGAAATGGGTGCATGATCTCTGTGTCGATTCTGCAGGCGGCCTGCCAAGGCTGTCCGTTTGGACGTCTTTGGGAACGGGGATTCTTGCCAGAGTTCAGTTTATTGTTAAAAGAATTGCTGGATGGACCTGGACAGATCAGGGCATGAAGCCTTGGATGCGACAGAGCCGGCACCGTCGAGGCGATCAGGTCGGCGCGGGTCCACTCGTCCGGACCCTCCTCCCGTCCGTCTGAGGCTTTGGACGACCTACCGCCACGCGGTTCCGCGCGGAGGCGAACCCCGCCTGCCGCCGCGCTGGTTGCCGGGCACCGGCTGCGCGGTGCCGCTGTGCCTGGGCGACCTGCAGCGGGAGCCGCAGGCGGCGCTGGAGGAGCTGGTGCCATGGTGAAGCACTGGGAGGAGGTGCCTGGAATGAGGTGGATGAGCGGTGAGGGAAGCCTTTTGGGCTGCGAAACAAGCCCTGAGCTCATGGCAAACACCTCCCAGCACCGCATGTAGTGTGGCACTGGAGTGTGGTGACCAGTGACCTGTCTTGTCGCACGGCTGGGAAAAACAAAGGTGGAGTCAAAAGGAAACGGCACCTCGCAAGACGGAATCCTTCGCATCTTGGCATGCCACCGCTGTTGTAAGACACCCGTCAACAACCTTCGCAAAAATGCTATGGCGATCTTCCAGGACCCTCCAGTCGACGTGCCCTGTCTGGAAGCCTAGGCTGGTAGTGTGGGGTAGTCCAGCCAGGACACCCCGACAGGAGGGTCCAGGTTGGCATTCAGGTGTTTGACTTATATGGATTCCTCGTGCAGTCGAAGCAACGGGTGTCGAGTCGTTCCTTCAACACGGCCGTTCGCACCGAGGACCCCCATGGAAAGCCGGTGGTGCCGGTGACCTATGCCACTTGCGGCTTGGTGCGCATGGGGAGAGAGAGAGGGAGAGAGAGAGAGTGCACAACAGCGGCTTCCTGGCTCCTCTGGACATGTTCCAAGAAACGTATAGATTGGGAATTGTTTCTCGCAATTTGAGGATGACTTCCTGAAGTCCACATGGTGTCAGCCCGAGGCTTTCGTGGACTATATAAGAATGTCCCAAATCTCCTGAATCGCACACGTGGGTGGATGTGGGTGATGCCCAGCAGGGTGGGGAGACAAATTCAACGGAGTCAGAGTCAAGGCGCGGAAGGTGATGAACACGCGCATCGTTTTAGACGAACATGACATGCACCGGTGTGGTGATGAAATATGGACATTTGGGATAGGGAATTGAAAGTGGAATTGACGGTTTGACAGTTGCATGCTGCACTTTACCCCTGAACTTTTGCTCCCGCACGGAGCGAGCAATTTGGAGCCATGGAACGTGGGCGGGTCATTCGGGGGCGGTGGGTCTGGCCGTGGCCATTTCCCACCAGACCTTCATAGATAGGCTCATGATAACTCACACCTGGCCACACAGCATAGAGCCAACACAGGTTTGGCAAATTGTGAAGCTACAATCCATAAAATCATTACGCAAGACGCAAGTGTTTGAAGACGTTCTGTCGGATGGCAACCCGCCAAACACGATGCTATGGGTGTGTATTTTAATAGGGAGACCCCTGGCCCAATGGGTTTTGAGTCTATTTTCCTTCTTTCAGGGAATCTTTAGGCAGGTCTCCGTATTTCAATGCACATCCACATGTTCAGGCACATAGAGTCATAGAGAGCACACATCCCCTTGAAAACAGATGTTGGGGCACGGCTCATCCTCTTTCAAACCACACCTGCCGACGTCCGGTCAAAAAAACCTCGGTCTTCACCGACTTTTTTGAGGTCATTTCCTGTCTCCGTTGTCGCCGGACTTGCGGGTGTCGGTGAAGATGGCGCTGGTGGACACCGGCTCCTCCGATTGCGAACTGAGTGCCCTGGAGGCTGATGGGTTGGACGCCCTTTGTGGATTGTTTTGGCGCCTGTTTGACGTGTTGGTGATACCTTTAAGGCCATAGGCAGGGGTCCAGCGTTGTTCGGGCCATGGGCGGCGTTGGCCTTCACCCCGAGATGGATCTGATCTGCCGTTCCAACGGGCCGTCCACTCACTGGACTAGGGTCTAGCCCTAGCCGTTCCTACGGAACTGCTGGATGCTGGTGGTGTATCTCTTTTTCTGTTCTCAGGTGAGCTGGGTGAGTTGGGAGTGTGTGTGGCACAGGGCATCTGCACGGGAATCCTCTCATTCTTAAGACCGGCCCATCTTCAACTTGAAGCAGAAGGCAGTAATTAGAGCTTGACAGTCGAACCCTTTAGGCTTGGAACATGCCCACCATTTCTGTGCATGTATAGTTGCTCCTTTTTGTAAGATGTTTGGCGCCAATGAGCCCAGCCTTCTAAGGACAAGGCCTGCTGGATGCTCGGAGCGAATTGGATGCGCGGAGCGAATGACATGGGCAGATTCTTTGACGTTGCGGTTCTTCCTGCGGTTCTTCAGCCGTTTCAGAAAGGGATTGATTCAGCAAGCGAAATGACTCAGCTCCGGAGCTGCTTCCCAACACTTTGGTCCGGACCCATCCAGGATGCCAACGAAAACACTTTGGGAGCAAGTCGGGAGAATGGGGGATTGGGCGTGGGATGCGGGACAGTCTTTCCAGACTGTTTGGGTCTACACTGAGTTGGCACACCCCAAATCCTTGCCAAAGATCTTGACTAGAGTCTTGACTAGCTATAATATGCAACCTGGCCCAGTGATGCAACCTGCTGGCTGGCCAGGTGGGTCCAGGTTGCAAGTCACCAACCGAACTCCTTTCAACACCCTCCAGGCTCCAACAAGGCACACCTTTTCGGGGGACGGATTGCTCCAACTCCATTGGACCCACGGAACATCATCCCGCCCCCCCCCCCCTACGACCCCGCGCGTGTGTGCGGACGACCCTGTTCAAACCCCTTGCACAGTTGGTTCGCTCAAGGGACGTCCCTCCCAGCCGGGTGGTCTCTCAGGATCGCCTGGGCCGTTTGCCCACGGTGGCACAGGGAGTGGTCTACGAAACGGTCTGTGGTCGCCATGTCTTCGACTCCTACGAGGTCCCGCGGACCCGAGCTTAACAAACCTCGGAGCCGTTTTGAGAGTTCAAGACAAAAACCGGAAGCAAACCACAGGTTCGGTTTCTAACAGCAAACGCATTCAAAACACTTCCATGTTTTTGGGTTGCTTTTTAAATGCCTTTCTACATCATATACTGATACTGGTTCTTGAATCCGCCAGGCTGTGGTTCAAGAATTTGCCGCCATGAGAGGGATCCCTCTCACACTCAGGGATTTGGTACCGTGTAGACCACTTGAGGAAAGGGACCGGACACTGATGGATGGACGGGCAACCCTTTTAAGTCACCCGCTCCAGCCAGCCTCAAGTGCTTGGGGACAGCCGCGGTTGCATGAAACCTGGAGTTCTTTTTTGGGGACAGAACCACCATAATGGTCAAAAAAGACGTCGAGCACCTCACTGACCTTACCACTTTCAGCTGACCTCCAGGCCAATCAAGCCACATCAAGCCACCGGGTCTCGCTGGCCCGGTCTGTTGTGCTCGCCAGGTGCTGCTGGCCATCGAGGGCCGCGTGTGCGCCTGCGCGGTCACCGGCGTGCCGGAGGAGCGCTTCCACGTTGGTGCCGAGGACCCGGCCTCGGACGAGGCGGCTTCGGGGAGTGGAGCGATGAACGGAGTAGCTCGAATCCAGGAGTAGCTCGGAGTCAAAAAGCCATGAGTCAAGCCTCCGGTGATTTGTTGGGAGGTTCTGACGGTCGATTGGTGATGATGGTGTGTTCTCTGCAGGAGATAATTGTAGAAAGAATGTGGAATCTATGTTTGCTGACTGAGTGTGCTGCTCGTCCTGCAGACTGACGGCTCCAGGCAGTCAAGCATGTTTGGTATTTGTTAGTCTATGTCTGGCAGTCCAGTAGCAACTCCCTTTCCCAACCTCCAACCCTTTAACCGGCTGTGTCACCCTCCTGAACGAGGCCGTTTTAGGCCTGGCTGCCTTGTCCGCCTTGGACTTGGTGGTCCATTGCCGCGCGCGCGCGGTGGCCGCCCGACGTCGCGAAGCCCCGTGACGGCCAAAAAGGGCCGTTCGCAGCGGCGTTCGTGGCTGCCGCCTCACGTGATCACATGGTCCTTGAGGATTAGTGTAGTCTTCGAGAACCACTGACTCCAGGGGTGGGTGGACCAGCTTTCTTTACAAAAGATGTTACATTCGCATGTGTTGCCTGGCCACATCCAAATTGTTAGGCCTGGAGTCTGCAGATACTGCTCAAGCACTGTCACATAGTGTTTCTGTGAAACAGCATTACGCAATGAGAGCCTTGTGGATCACCTTCTGCGCTTGCTTGATGCACTCAGATGCATTTCGCGAGAGTGTCGTCGGCAATGCGACCGGCTTGGGCGATGGAGCAGATTGCACCTGTGGGAAGAAGCCCCTGAAGGACAACAAATGCTGCGACCCAGGTTTGATTTGCAGTAAGAGTGCTGGCAAGTGCAAGCCCGCATTGAAGGGAGAATGTGACCGCAAGTGGATCGGGACCAACTGCGCCGTCAGCACTTACGGACGGTACAATGGCATTTCATGCAGAACGTTGCTTGGTGTGCATCTGCCTTTTTCGTTGTGATAAGTTGCGGTTGTTCTTCTTGCTTCATTCGTCCAATCGATTCATGGACTTCGCTGTTCCATATGGAGTTTATGAGTGGATGTTTTTTGTGACGCCGACCGTGGGCACAGCTAGGTACTATGCAGCTACAGATGGCCAGAAGCACTGCTGTGTCCATGGCCTACCAATGATGATTGAGTATGACAAAGCTTACCAATACGCACCAGTGGGTGGTGACAAGACCACCTGTTGCAGTGGAGAGGTTAAGTGGTCTTCCTGGGCTGTGGACCTGAAAGGGAAGCACGATGGATACTACTGCAAAGGAGGCTAGACTGGAGGCTGCTGTGGTGTTTCTGCATTTTGTCGGAACACGGCGCGGTGGTTTCGTGGAAAAGGCTGGTGCAGGCAGAGTAAAGGCCCTCCCCGTCTCAGGAATCCCTACACCCGATTTCGTGAAGTTGTGTGCAAATATTTTTAATCTATATTGTTTTTATTTCTCTCGTGTGGCTGATATACTTATTATACTTGTGAACAGTAACTTGGAAGTGGCTCATGGCTCATGGCCCCTGGGAGTACGTGCATGAACAATTGCCCAAAGGGTTCACCCATGAACAAAAGATGCGACACGATGTGTTAGTTGCCTGGCCACATCCAGATTGTTAGGCCTGGAGTCTGCAGATACTGCTCAAGCACTGTCACATAGTGTTTCTGTGAAACGGCATTACACAATGAGAGCCTTGTGGATCACCTTCTGCGCTTGCTTGATGCACTCAGATGCAATTCGCGAGAGTGTCGTCGGCAATGCGACCGGCTTGGGCGATGGAGCAGATTGCACCTGTGGGAAGATGCCCTTGAAGGACAACAAATGCTGCGACCCAGGTTTGATTTGCAGTAAGAGTGCTGGCAAGTGCAAGCCCGCATTGAAGGGCGAATGTGACCGCAAGTGGATCGGGACCAACTGCGCCGTCAGCACTTATGGACGGTACAATGGCATTTCATGCAGAACGTTGCTTGGTGTGCATCTGCCTTTTTCGTTGTGATAAGTTGCGGTTGTTCTTCTTGCTTCATTCGTCCAATCGATTCATGGACTTCACTGTTCCATATGGAGTTTATGAGTGGATGTTTTTTGTCAAACCTAACCGTGGGCACAGCTAGGTACTATGCAGCTACAGATGGCCAGAAGCACTGCTGTGTCCATGGCCTACCAATGATGATTGAGTATGACATAGCTTACCAATACGCACCAGTGGGTGGTGACAAGACCACCTGTTGCAGTGGAGAGGTTAAGTGGTCTTCCTGGGCTGTGGACGTGAAAGGGAAGCACGATGGATACTACTGCAAAGGAGGCTAGACTGGAGGCTGCTGTGGTGTTTCTGCATTTTGTCGGAACACGGCGCCGTGGTTTCGTGGAAAAGGCTGGTGCAGGCAGAGTAAAGGCCCTCCCCGTCTCAGGAAGCCCTACACCCGATTTCGTGAAGTTGTGTGCAAATATTTTAAATCATATTTATTGTTTTTATTTCTCTCGTGTGGCTGATATACTTATTGTACTTGTGAACAGTAACTTGGAAGTGGCTCATGGCTCATGGCCCCTGGGAATACGTGCATGAACAATTGCCCAAAGGGTTCCCCCATGAACAAAAGATGCGACATTCGCATGTGTTAGTTGCCTGGAAAATCCAGATTGTTAGGCCTGGAGTCTGCAGATACTGCTCAAACACTGTCACATAGTCTTTCTGTGAAACGGCATTACGCAATGAGAGCCTTGTGGATCACCTTCTGCGCTTGCTTGATGCACTCAGATGCAATTCGCGAGAGTGTCGTCGGCAATGCGACCGGCTTGGGCGATGGAGCAGATTGCACCTGTGGGAAGAAGCCCTTGAAGGACAACAAATGCTGCGACCCAGGTTTGATTTGCAGTAAGAGTGCTGGCAAGTGCAAGCCCGCATTGAAGGGCGAATGTGACCGCAAGTGGATCGGGACCAACTGCGCCGTCAGCACTTATGGACGGTACAATGGCATTTCATGCAGAACGTTGCTTGGTGTGCATCTGCCTTTTTCGTTGTGATAAGTTGCGGTTGTTCTTCTTGCTTCATTCGTCCAATCGATTCATGGACTTCACTGTTCCATATGGAGTTTATGAGTGGATGTTTTTTGTGACGCCGACCGTGGGCACAGCTAGGTACTATGCAGCTACAGATGGCCAGAAGCACTGCTGTGTCCATGGCCTACCAATGATGATTGAGTATGACAAAGCTTACCAATACGCACCAGTGGGTGGTGACAAGACCACCTGTTGCAGTGGAGAGGTTAAGTGGTCTTCCTGGGCTGTGGACCTGAAAGGGAAGCACGATGGATACTACTGCAAAGGAGGCTAGACTGGAGGCTGCTGTGGTGTTTCTGCATTTTGTCGGAACACGGCGCGGTGGTTTCGTGGAAAAGGCTGGTGCAGGCAGAGTAAAGGCCCTCCCCGTCTCAGGAAGCCCTACACCCTTTTTCGTGAAGTTGTGTGCAAATATTTGCAGTTATATACATATATTATATGTTTTTTGTTTTTCCTTTTCGAGGCAACGTTTGGATTGTGGACCTTTATGACGTACTGCTGTACTGCTTTGATCCTTGTGGCCCTCAGTGATCCTTGTGGTGACTTCCAGGTTTGTGCGACCGGAGACCGGAGACCGGACGCACCGTGCGCCCGTGCCGTGCCGCAGCCGTGGTCGGCGTGAAAGGTGGCCTTGAGGTCGGCTGCGGCCAATGCCAGTGTCGCAGTGGGGGGTCCCGGAGTGTTGGAGAGGGGTAAGTACTCCTACTCATCCCGTGAAGGAACTTCTACAGTCGTTTCAGAGTAATTAGATGGCACAGACCTCAAGATGTCCTTTACACGGGGGTTCTACTCTCAATCCACTATATGAATTTCTGCTTAGTGTCATATCTTTTGAGGATGATTTTCTCCAATTGTCAGCATAATTAGGGTGAGCATCTACCCTACCCAAAGAATGGACCCTTTTCATGCCTTTTCCACGTTTTCCGTGTGTGTGTGTGTGCATGTGTGTGTGCCCCTTGTAGTCACAGGGATTCGTTTGAATTGTTTTTGTGCTTAGCAGGGGGGCAATGAACTTGGAAGGCATTGCCCAACGAAGACCCTTCCATCGTGTTGTGATATTCCTGAGGGACGCCTCGGGAACGTACCTGCAACAATTTTTAAAGTTTGCGGCAGTCACGCACGGAACGCCGTCACTTCGACCTGATCGCCGACCTCGACCTTGTGCTTTGGGCCTCCTTTCCTTTTAAGACCTCCAGGATTCGATGGCTTCCTACTGGTACTCTTAGGAAATGGAACCCTAGGCCGGCGTGTGGCACCGCTATCAGTTCAGTATGCATATCCATAAGTGTGTTTGGCCTCGTGCCAACCCGGGATGAGCCCGCAGAGTGCCTCCCGTGGACCCGTCGAACGGGGGTTTGTCGTTATCTCCCCTGCCTGGAGATGTAAGTGCCCAGAGCGGGCGTAGGTGGCCCAGGCCGAGAGAATTCAGATTTTTGTTTCATCTTTGGAATTGCAAGTTGGTTCATGCCTTTACGTGACCGCAGCGGTCTAAGCAGCCAGCCATTTTGGCACGGCGTACGTGGCCGCAGCGGCCAAAGCTTGTTCAAGGCTCATTGGAACCTGTCGCGAGCTTAGTCCCCCTGCTTCCCCTTCCCTCCCCTTTCTCTCTTTGCTTTTTGGGGTTTTCCTGAATGGAAGACTCAGGATCACCGCTTTCTTTCTTTGGTGTGTCCCTGGACGATTGTTCGTAGCTGGGAACACCTGCCTTTTCCTTTTCTCTCCTCTCCCTTTCTCTTTCTTTCTTTCTTTCTTTCTTTCTTTCTTTCTCTCTTTCCTCTCCACATTCCTTCCTCCTTGGGTGTCCCTGGATGCTTTTGTCATAGCTGGGAACCCTTCTCCGCTCTTCTTTTGGTGTGTCCTTGGACGCTTGCGTCGTAGCTGGGAACACCTTCCTTCCTTCTCTTTCCTTTTTCTCGTCTCTCCCTACCCCTCCCTCCTGTCGGGACCTTAGCTTGGGTTGCTACTAGGGACTCCTGGCCTTCCTACTAGGTGCTAGGTCGCTACTTTGACGCTACTAGAGGTTCCTGGCCTTGCTACTACTTTGTCCGCACCTTTTGGCGCGGAGCTTAAAACATGCCTCCCTTCGGGGAGGCGTGTGTGTGTGTGTGCCCCTTGTAGTCACAGGGATTCGTTTGAATTGTTTTTGTGCTTAGCAAGGGGGCAATGAACTTTGGAAGGCATTGCCCAACGAAGACCCTTCCATCGTGTTGTGATATTCCTGAGGGACGCCTCGGGAACCTACCTGCAACAATTTTTAAAGTTTGCGGCAGTCACGCACGGAACGCCGTCACTTCGACCTGATCGCCGACCTCGACCTTGTGCTTTGGGCCTCCTTTCCTTTTAAGACCTCCAGGATTCGATGGCTTCCTACTGGTACTCTTAGGAAATGGAACCCTAGGCCGGCGTGTGGCACCGCTATCAGTTCAGTACGCATATCCATAAGTGTGTGTGTGTGCCTCTTGTAGTCACAGGAATCCGTTTGGATTGTACTTTTGACTCCGTTTTCCTTTTTGAGCAGGGGTGCTGGTTGTTCATGCAAGTGCCAGCCCAACGAAGAGGCTTGCATTGAACACTGATATTATGAGAATCTTACAGCCACAGACTGGGGGTTGACAAAATATTTAGTTTTTCATTTTTCGTTTTCATCATCATTTTTTCATCCCCATCTGTTTGTTTTTCACGTGCATCATTTTTTTCATGCCCATCTGTGTCTATTCGTTTTGTCCAAGCAGTGTGGGGTCCGTCTCAGCCGGACAGTTGAGCTCAGATCCGTTGAGCTGCTTGGGAACTGGGAACTGATGCGTGAGACGTTCAGGTCCCAGTGGCTCCCGGTCAACAAAAGCTGCCCCCATCCACTCATAGGTAGTGTTGAACTCACTCTCTGTTTCATTGGAACCATCTTGAAAACACCGGGTTTTTTTTTGGTCTCTCTGCCCGTCTCCGCCCGGTCAACACCGGCTCAGGATATCACCCACCGAGTGCCCTTCGACGAGGTCGGCAAGAAGGCGGGCCCGGCGACGTCCGCGGGGTACGGACCTCGCCACCGTGAAGGTCGTGGAGGGCGACGCCGTTGGGGGTCTGGACCACCCGGTGAAAACGGGGTCCCAAGAACCGGAAACCCGTAGAACTGGCCGCCCGCGCCGACGTGGAGGGTTCGACCGGAGCTGAAAGCCCCCGGGTAGGGCGGGGGATGGTTGGAGAGATCTTGAGAGCGCACTCCGACTCACTCGACATGGAAGTCGAACCCCGTCCTGTTTGTGAAGGAAAGGATGGAAAGGGATCCATTTTCCAGTTCCATGTTGATGAGGTTTTGAGTGCAAACCAGGCATGAAACCACGGTGCATCCAGACGGCGCATCCGCGTGAGGTCCATGGTTCTTCGATCCTGTCGCTCTACCCGCAGGGAGGCCAAGTCTAAATCGATATGGACATCTATTTTGGAAAGCTCTACCTTGAAATCGATGTGGACATCTACAAATCCCACAGATTTTGTTGATTGGGCCTGTGCAGCTGTGTTTGCGCCCTGCCGGCTTCGCCACCAGCAGCCCCGTCGCCGGAAGCCGGACCGCCGAGGAATAGCTTGATGGAGCAGGTGTGACCGACGAATCGCCCGACGGGCCCGGAAGCCATTCATGGTGGGCGGTTCTCCGTGACCACGAGACCCGAACCGGCCCCCCAGGACCCCTTACCTATAGCCTGAATCCCGAACCGCCTGTTATTTGTTTTTACACTATAAAACGAGGTTAACAATGTAAGACAATGCGAAAACGATGATATGATGCAAAAGAAGGATTTTGCACTACAAAACGAGGTCAACCATTTTCCAAAAGGTCTTTGGCCAGGGAGACTTTTTTAGAAGGAAGTTCCCGAGCTGTCAGGAGGGCCACGTTTAGGGGTTGTGGATAGAATAAGGAACCACCCAGGCTGAGCAAGCTGATCATGATGTTGTTACTTTGTTTTATTGTTGTTTTCCTCTATGTTTTTCTTGGATGAGTTCATCCGTAAGCTATTAATCAAGCACACGCTGCCGCTTGATTCTCCGTTCCAGTCTGGGGGGGTGGTGGTTCAGGAGGGACGTGAGCGTTTGGCGGTTTTGGGAGGCCCGATTTCGTCATGGGCGAGCGACCCACACCCCACAGCAGCCCCTTTTCTTTTCCCCTTTGGACCCTGAGATTTGAGGGCTCTAATGGGCTCAGCCTAGGGGTGATGAAGCACCACTTAACTGTGAGCGGCGCTGCGCGGAGAGCGAAAAAAGGGGAGGCCCAGCTGGCCCGAGCTGTTGGCGCGTTCAGGCGAGCTTTGAGGAGTACAACAAGTGAGGGGTCCCAGAGAGAACCTGCTTGGCACTGTGGTCGTACTATACACACCGTAGCAGGTCGGCCACACCGTGCCGGTGCGAAAAAAAGCCTTCCAAGACCAGCTGATTTGGTAGGTGCATCGTGGCGCCCGCGCCCGCTGACAGAGCGCGGCCGGGGAGTGGCCTGAGATGCTGCGGATTTGGGTTCATGAAACCTCACAACCTCAGTGAAGCCAGTCATCCATCATCGCTTTGCAGTTGGTACATTTTGATACCGCACCTATAGTACCGCACCGAGATCCTCCAACTATTATGCAAAACTTCCTTTTCATTGATGAACACCCACCCGGAGAGGCGGACAGGGCGTGCGTGCATGGCGGGAAGGGAAGGGTCTGCCGGTCGTTCCTACCGGGTCCGTCCACGCGGACCGTGGCGTTCCGAGGTACTTCCGAAGCAAAAGCCGTGCCGGCGTCGCCCGGCTCGACGAGTCGTTGGCGCTGTATGTGATGCCCGCTGGGGAGGAGGGACGGGACGTGTGATTGAGCGAGAGGGCGCGAGAGGGGCCCTTTTGGGGATTGGAACAGTTTCCGTGCTTTCGCAGTTTGGATGGGAAGGAGTTGTGATGAGTTAAGTTAAGCCCATGGTTTCATTTTTGAGTTCCCATCTCGTGAGCGGATGGGAACGCAGGTCCATATTCTATATACAAAAGCCCTGGGGCACCAACAGCCTTAATTTAAATGTCGGTTGTCCTAACCACCATTTCACGCAAGACTTGGGTGCCTACTTCCAATTCACGCATGTCAGTATCCGA